GAAAAATAAATAAATAAAGAAGCAATGTTCATCAAATATTTATTTCAAAAGTGCATCACAATTGGAAAATATTGTTTCAAAACATGTAACAATGTGAAACCTTTGCCAATTTCCACTTCAATACTTTGCTTTGTAACAAAATTCTGAAGATAACTAAATTTAAACTAAAAAATATTTTCATGCACTGCAGAGGAGGTTCATTTCTTTATTTAAACTGCAGTTTGCTGCATGGATTTTTATGGGAGATGGTCTTCTGATAGATGGGGATTAACGCAGCTCCATGTGTTCACAATAACATTTCCAAAATCATTCTTTTAGGTGTGTTTATGTTGATGAGTTTAGCCAAATAATACATAAAATATGCATCTACAAACCTTTTTTTTTAACACTATAGTTACAAAGATTACAAGTTAGATGAACATGATTAGGCTATCACCAAATCAACGTAGCAAATGTCTATCACACGGCTCTATCTTGACTCAAAAAATTCCATAGAGTTAGAAAGCAAATAAAAAATTTAAACCATCTAAGAGAAATTATTTACCAGGCTGGGTAAACGCGTCTGTATGAGAGCAAAATGGAGAGTAAAGTTTTCCTCAGCTTCGTTCGGTACCTGTAGTATTGGAGGCAGAATCTGTGAATCTACTCTTTAGGTGTCAAATCCACTATAGGAGTTCAGAGTTGATAGACAAAGAGTTATTTTTTCCATTTTAACACCTCCAGATTTATTATGTACCACAATTTTTTAACACTCAATTTTAACTACTAACATGTGACATCTCAGAGTTATATTAGTATATTATCACTCTATTAACAGCTAAATTAACACTGTCTTTAAGCAAAGTCTACTAACACCGTATTATTTAACACTTTTCAATTTGCTGTGTGGAAGAATGAAAAAAACTAAACAAACTATACCACTAGCAAAGTTATTTCTGGGGTGATTTTAATTTTGTTCCCGACCTATAGATGGATTGATTTCCAACGAGTTGTCTAAGCCACTCTTGTGATGAAATCATAAGGGAATTCATCATGAAAACAGATCTGATTGACTACTGGAGAACGAGAGAGCCTATACACATGGTATAATTCAGCCAATAATGGTCAATGCTCAAGGTTAGACAGAGGGCCAAAAGCAGCGCTGAGAACAACACAGCAGGCATTTATGCAGAGTCTGTGGGCCTCAGTGAAGTCCTCCTCCTCCTGACTGTGGGGGCATCTTTGGAGCCGGCGTGGAGACCACCACCACAGTGCTGAATTGAGCAGTCACCTACCTCATCCACCATCCAGACGTAAGTTAGAAACCCTTCTGTGCTTCTGTTTAGTCTGCAACATGGTAA